CTTATGCTCTAATAAATTTGTTAGTCTCTAAGGTGCCACAAGTACTCCTGTTCTTTTTGCGGATACAGACTAACACGGCTGCTACTCTGAAACCTGTCTTTTGGGCAGGCACTGTCTCGTAGTGTGTGTTTGTACATGCCTAGCAGCCTGGGGCCTTTATCTCCACGGGGTTTAAAAGAATTATCATCTTAAATCTCAAAAAAGTCAAAGTTCAGGACTGCAACAGAGGGCAAGGTCCTGCCACACCATTTTCATTACGTCCACTTAATGGAAAATTTTCACGGCAGAAAAGGACTGATTGAGTCATTGGCAGTAGAAAATCCCTCCAGCTGCACGAGAGCAACAGAAGCAGCACGAACAGAAACGACAAAATAACGCGGTGTTGTTCGGCACAGTAGTTAGGCGCTTTCATTGAGCATTCAGCTACACGTTCCATTAGTGTGCCGGGTTAGAGAAATGGCCTATTGGATTATTATGTAAGACGGCATTTTGCTCCGGCAATATAAAAAGTTACAAAACATAGTTTGTAGCGCTACCAGGTATTTGCTACAGGCTGTAACTACCCAGGAATGGCAACTGCCAAATTAGTTTCACTCAAGAAGGTCATTTTAAAGCTATCTGATCAAAATGGCATTCCTATACTGTAGTCAAGGCTGCCTTGGAAGTCTGATTTCAATGCATAGCTGAATCACTGCTCATCTGTATTCAAAATCCCAAATGGACTTCTTTTTGTAAGTGGTTAAAACTGTGTGTGTGCATTTTTTTTTCTCCCCAACAGCACTTGAAGGAACAAGCCGATCAACAATCTGGGCTTGAAGCTATTGACTTTAGTTCTCATTAACTAGCAAAGGGGAAATGCAGAAGGAAATCTCAGGGGGGGTCTTAGCACAATAGAAACAGATTCAGCACAAGGTGTGTTTTCCTTCCTTTGCTTTGCAATAAGACTTGTATTTTTATTATCCAATTATGAAGAGTAAGGGGATTAATCAGTTATTAAATGAAACTGAAGTCATGGGGTGATGTTTTAAGTTAAAAAGTCTATTCATTCCCCCAAATAATCACAGAATTATGTTTTCCACTGCGATTGATGCTGCCATTAGGTCCAATTTTTCAGTCTTTAAACTTTGAATTGAACCAAATGACAGTGAAAACCCAGATGGCGCACACATGCTAAATACTGTATGGGAAATATTCCTTCCAGAAAGCCTGAAACTCTTGCACAAGCAGAAATCTAAGCAAAAACTGTTTGAAACAAAACTAGAACAAACATGTCATGACCTGCAGGGCAATGAGGTGAGCGGGTACAATGGGAATCAGCATTGTACAATGCTGCACATTGCTAATGTCCAACATTTAGAAATGCTTGGAGAAATGTTATCGATTATAGACACAGCCTGGCAGCATAATCGTCACGAGTCAGAACCCTGAACCCAATCCTGCAACCCACACGCAATCCTACAGCTTCAATGGGGAACCAATCC